GTAGTCTCCTCACTCATACCACCCACAGGTCTTTCCGCACGTGAATTCCATCATCTTAGACTAACTCAAATATCGCAGATAAATAACGACTTGGAGATAATAGAGGACTGGGGTAACAAAAACCTTGTACAGTTCAACGCGCAGAAAACCCAAGCAGCTCTGTTTTCAAAAAAGACCAGTACCGGTGAGCCAAACATCATGCTATCTGGAAGTGCTGTCACATTACAGAGTCAGTTGAACATCTTGGGGGTTACTGCAGAGACCAACATGTCTTGGCACAGTCACGTGGCAGATATTGCTAAAAGGGCCTCCCAAAAGCTGGGGGTGCTTTTTCGTACAAGACATCTGTACACACCAAGCCAATTGCTGACACTCTACAAAGCCCAGATTCGACCAACTATGGAGTACTGCTCACATATATGGAGTGCAGCACCCAAACATACCTTAATGCTTTTGAATACCGTGCAAAAACGAGCTATCAAGCTGATCAATGACCCCACACTTACTCGTAACTTGGATGGTCTCGAACATCGCAGATCTGTGGGCGATTTATCTCTCTTCTACAGGTACTATCACGGAAAATGCTCTGAAGAGTTGGCACGTATGATTCCACCGAGAGTAGCACCTACCAGGCGAACCCGTCAAACAGACGGTAACCATGAATTTACTGTCAAACTAGAGGCACCGAGAACCTCATTATATCAGAATTCATATCTCTGGAGAACAGCATCGCTGTGGAATAAACTCCCTGCGACGGTTTTCCCTGCAGGTTACAACCTGAACCGTTTCAAGACCAACATACACCGACATTTCCGCGCACTTGCCGCTTCTCGAGCGTGATAGGACATTTCCTTGCGAGTGCGCATATCCGTAAAAAAAAAAAAAAAAAATTGTCAGCTCTGCGTAGCGGAAACATCTGTTGTAGAGGGCGATGATGACGCATGTGTTGATCTCGGCGATGAAAATGGAACCGTCAATATCAAAAATTTGGAAGCTCTTTTTAGCAAATATTTTACGCCATTTTGTCAGGAGGTTGATGTTAAACTCTGCTCGATTCAGCAAAGACTTGACTTGTTGGTTGCCGAAAATATGAGTCTGAAGGATGAAAATACCTTACTTAATACCAGGGTTAGCAAGCTTGAATCTGATGTGGCCTCTCTCAAGGGCCACCAGGTATCAGTGATGCCTTCTGATAACTTGGAGGGTGTTGTCTCATAATTGAACGATCGACAGACTAGGCTGAGAAATGTTATGATTTTTGGACAAAAGGAGGCATAATCCCAGGAAACGGACGAACGCTCTGAGCTTGATTTGGGCATTGTGAAAGACATAGTCAATGTGACATGCCCAGATAATCCTGTTACCATCACAAAGGTTTTTCGACTGGGACGTATTAACAATGAAAGGCCAAGACCAATTAAGGTCGTCTTCTCTACACAGCAAGATGCGCTTACAGTAATCCAGGGTTCAAAACGTTTAAAAGGTAATGAAGCATACAGGCAGGTTGCAGTCAGTTTTGACCACACTCCCAAGCAAATTGCTGAGTATAAAGGTTTAAAGGAACAATTGAATTCAAGGATAGCTCGAGGCGAAACAAACCTGAAAATCCGTTATGTAAAGGGGGTTCCTAAAATTGTTGAAAATTTAAACGGTTAGTGCCCAACAGTTCAGACTGTTCAGAGAGCCTTGTTATTGCCTATCAAAATGTTCGAGGACTTAATTCAAAGATTGACACTTTCTATTCTTCTGTTAGCGATAGTGAGTTTGATGTGGTAGCATTATCTGAAACCTGGCTTAGTTCTAATGTGAAAGATAGTGAGCTATTTAATGATGATTATCAAGTATTTAGGAATGATCGGGATCTTGCTGCAACTGGCCGTGAGAGTGGGGTGGTGTTTTACTAGCTATAAAAAATACTGTGAAAAGTGAGGCCATTCAAATGCCATTTTTAAAGCAGAACTTCCCAGAAATTGACTTTATTATGAACCGATGTGTGATATCCCATAGAGTATTGTTTATTTTAGTTATTTATATTCCGCTATACTTACCTATAGAAACTGTTGAATTATTTTTTGAATCATTAGAACAATTTGAGCAATTATTTAATAAAAATATCTTGGCTTTGGGAGATTTTAATAATCCAGGTTTTGTTGATTTTGACCAGAATGATACTTCACTAGTATTAACAATTTTATGAATTTTTTTGAACTTAAGCAGTACAACAGTGTGCGTAATTGCTCAGATCGTTTGTTGGATCTTGTTGTGACAAATTTAGATTGTAGCGTTGTTCACAATGCCAGTCCCTTTGTCAAGGAGGACAAATATCACCCTGCTTTGTTCATTTCCACTCAGTTTTGCTTGCAAAAGGCACGACCAATTTCTTCCTAATTTAAAGAACAAAGCTTTTAATTTTAAAAGGGCAGACTTTCCATCCCTATACAACTCTCTTTTAAATACTGATTGGGATTTCTTGCGGGAAAATAATGTTGTAAATGACACTGTTAAATGTTTTTATGATAAATTATACTCTTTGGTGGAGAGTCATGTCCCGCAATATAAACAATATAAACGTTCCTTTCCAGCCTGGTATAACGCTGGAATAATAAAGAATATAAAACTTAAAGAAAGAGCATTGAGCAAACATAGAAAGACTGGCATTGTGGACTTTTTTATTGAATATAAAAGGTTGAGAAAATTAACTAAGCAAGATATCAAAGCCGCATTTAAAGCATACATCTCCATTGTACAGCAAAGTGTTAATAGTGATCCTCGATACTTTTGGTCTTACTTTCATAGTAAGAACGGAAGCTCTAGAATCCCAAATACAATGGCATTCGAGGGGCAAACTTACATAGATTCCCAAGAAATAGTAAATGTTTTTGGTAGGTTTTTTGAAAGTGTATTTTTGCCATCCTCAGTGCCTAGTGATAACCTTTCCCAGCCTAGTTTATGTAGTACAGTTCATATCAACGACGTAACGGATGATGAGATATGAAAGCATCTAAAAAGCTCAAAAATAAAATGACATCTGGTCCAGATATTATACCTGTTTTTTTAGTTAAGGACTGCATAGGTGTGCTGGTAACCCCTTTAAGAATCCTCTTTAACTTGATGCTGCATTCCCATACATACCCAGATCTGTGGAAGGAGGCAAAAGTCATCCCAGTATTTAAGTCCTGGTGAGCGCTCACAGGTGGCGAATTATCGCCCGATATCCATCCTGTGCAATTTCTCCAAATTTTTGAAACCATTTTGTATGAACGTGTATACGCATCAGTCTGTCGCCAAATTTCACCTTTTCAACATGGCTTTATGAACCAAAGATCAACCATAACAAATCTAATGCATATATCACAGGATATATCAGAAATTCTGGATATGGGGGGTCAGGTTGATGTGATATATACGGATTTCTCCAAGGCTTTTGACAGATTGGATCATGGGTTATTAATTACGAAGTTGCATAGATTCGGATTTTCTGATGGTCTCCTAGCACTTTTTGCATCATATCTAAATAATCGGCAACAATTTGTTTTTTACAATGGATTTAAGTCTACGAAATATACGGCAACCTCAGGAGTACCTCAAGGGTCTAATCTAGGTCCTGTCCTTTTTCTTTTATTTGTTAACGATCTAGCTGATGAACTTACCTCTGGAAATTTATTATTTGCAGATGATCTCAAGATTTTTTCTCCAATTGACAGTCTGAGTGATTGTGAAAATCTGCAGACTAATTTAACTACTGTTCAAAGATGGTGTGCTGAAAATAGTTTAAATTTAAATGTGTCTAAATGCAAATGTATTACATTTACCCGTAAACTGACTTATATCATTTTCGCATATGCAATAAACCATACAGCACTGTTACGATGTTTCTCTGTCACAGATCTGGGTATAGTGTTTGATTAAACATTTACTTTTGTTGAGCATATTAAAACTAAAGCTAATGAGACAAGTACGGTTTACGGCTTTATAGTGAGGAATTATAAAGGATTTGATAATATAAACGCCCTACTCACACTTTACTATGCTTACATACGCTCAAAACTTGAGTACGGTTGTTTAATCTGGTATCCGTTTTACAGTGTCCACAAAATTAAAATGGAAAAAGTTCAACGAAGGTTTTTAAAGTATGTAATGTTTAAAATGGACGGAACCTATCCAGTAAGAGGGTTTGACCATGGAGTGCTACTGAGTAGATTCAGCATGCAAACCCTGGAGCATAGGAGACTATTGGCTTCTCTGTAATTCTTGTTCAAATTGATACACGGGAAGATCGATTGTTCTCACTTACTCTCGAAATTGAATTTCTTGGTTCCCAGACTCCAAAGCAGGAACAACTTAACATTTTATTGTACTAGAGCAAAAACCAATATTCTTCTGAGATCTCCGATAACTATAATGTGTAGTAATTTCAATAGAATTGATCGAGAATGTGATATTTTCAATTGTACTCTCAGCTGTTTGCAGTCAGTTGCTTCGGGTGTGTTTGCTGCTATTTAATAATTTTATAGGTTATTATAATATTGTTTATTTTGTGTTATTTTTGTATGAAATTGCTCTGTAAATGGGTAACTCTGTTGGGCAATAAAGCTATTATTATTATTATTATTACACTTGTTAATAAAAAGATTCAATGTTTCCAAATTTCCTCTATTATTTATGACAGAATTTGTTTCACGTTTTTAAAATTTTCAAACTCGAAATTGCTCAAGCTTGAAACATTTTTGACCAGTTAAAGATTGTTCTCATCAACTATAAGGTCATTATGTATGATAATTATCGTTATGGATGGTGCGTGTGGGTCTAGGAATTCGAAACTAACTCATCAAATGCAAAAATAATGATAATCGATCTCTGTTTTGTTGATTAAAATTTTAGGAAACGGCGCTGGCGACGCCGACATCCCACAACTTTTTGCTCTTCTCTCTCTGCACAATATTCAAACTAATATAAATTCTAAATCTGTTAGATCTTCAGACGGTCTTTTACTTAAGATCGCGATCGTGACGGTACTAGTTTGAGATAAATGCGCGGGGAAAATTAAGAGAAAATGCGTTTTCTTAGCGGAAAAGTTGTTTTTGTTGTTTGGATACTTTTTATTTGTAAGTAACTTGAACTTTTTTGAGACAATAGAAAACAAATCAACAAAAATATAAATTACAAACAATGTGAAATACATTTTTTGATTTTAAAATGAAATAGGCCTCTAGAGAATTATTTTAGTGATCATGATTTTATTGACTATTGATTTTTTTTTTTTTTTTGACAAAATGCTTGTTTTTGATTTTTTTGGTATTTTTTAACAATTTTTTTATTGTTTATTTAGTGTTTTTTATTGATAGCTACTTGATAACACATTCTTTTTTCCTCAGCTCATTATATCTTAATTGGAATGTAGAATGTAGGTAATTTTTTTTTTTTTTAATGATTATTTTTTTTTCAATATTTTGTCCCAAGCGCTCTAATATTAAGTATTATTGAGCATGAGTACGTGTGAGTACCTACCATTCCATTATTAAAAGGTTTATAATTCCTGTTAAAACGAATACCTACTTCAATTTCAATTTTTTTTTCTTCCAAAAAAAAGGGATTGTTTTGTAAACCATTAACCTACTAGTGTGTTATTTGCTAGTTTACATGACTAAAATTACAAACATATTAAATTTAGACCTATAGCAGGTGTCGGATAAAAGCTTTTCATTATGTTTTCACTTTTTAGTTTTGGTTAAAAATAGTGTCGCATACCTACATATGCCAGCGATAAAGTAAGAAAACTTGAGAAGGAAGCGATATAAAATGAAAAGTCGTTAAACTTTCCAGACAACGATTTTGGGTAATAGCATTGTAAAATACATGTGTAGTAAACTTTTGACGGCAACAACCTTTATGCCAAAGATTCTATGATTCTATTCTGCTAGTTTGACTCAGTTATTTTATTACCAGGTTCTTGAATTTTCTTCACTTTTTGATTAACAAGAAAATAAAGAAAAAAATTAAGATTCTGGAATACAAAATTGGATCAAAAATAATTGAAAAATATTTAAGTATAAAGACGAATCTTTTTAGTCTTGGTTCTTGAACTTTCTTCACTCTTGTAATTTGAGAAATTAAGAAGAGAATTAAAAAATTATTTAGGAGTCTAAAATAGACAAAAATTTAAACAAAAATAAATGACAAATATTTAAATAGAGGAAAAAATTTCTTTATCCCCAGGCTCTTGAATTTCCTTCACACTTTTAATTCCACAAATTAGGAAAAGAATGAAGTTAATGTAATAGTCTATAGAATAAACCAGAATTGGAACAAAAATAAATGGGAAATACTTAGTAGAGGGACCAATTTTTTTGGTGCAGATTCTCGAACTCTCTCCACTCTTCTATTTTAGGAAATTAAGAAGAGAATAAAGTGATATGTAATTCAGGAGCCTGGAATGAGCAAAATTTGAAATAAAAAAAATTGGATATAAAGGGAGGTCCAAAAAAAAAACGGAATTTTGTTTTTTAAGTTGTAACTTTTTTTTGTTGTTGACCAATTTCCTTTTGTTTTGGCTTGTTTGAAAGAGAAATGAACAGGCTAACGAATCAAAGTGAAACTTTTGACATTTGAAACAAATTTAAAATGGCGGACTTCTTCAAAAATTGCCTAGTTTTGGATAGCGCGGGAACTTTTTTGTGACACCCAGTATAAGTTTTTTTAATAAATTCTCAAAGTTCATCATATTGCGAACATTTTAAGAACTCGACAGAAGAAATTTGTTGAAAAGTAAGTGAAATACCTAATTTTTGTAATATCGAATTTCAATTTTTCCTATTGACAGCAGAATCTACGAGATGCTATTTTGGCTGGAATTTTTTTTTTTCTACTCGACATATTTTTTCTATTTAGGGCTTGTTCAAAAGATAAATAGATATAGGGTAACGATTTGGAATGAAGATTTTGACTAATGAGAAAAAATTAAAGCTATCCCAGTTCCTTTAACATAGCCAATTTTGAACAAGTTAACGATAAGTTTTCTAACAATACGACTAATATTTTTGTTTTTAAATCTTAAAAAATTAAGAAAACATATTAAAGGGGCGATTTGCCCTGCGTGAGCCTCAATAACCCATGCCTAACGTCAACGTCTACGCCAAGAATCGATAAAGTTGGCAATGTTACGTTATTGCAGTTCTTCCCAACAAATGATTTGATTGCGCAGCTCTTTAAACTATTGAACGTAGCCCCATTTCTGTGGACTCTTTCTATTGATTCCCCCATAAAAAGTGATGGCAGGGGTTCTGACTCCATCCTATACTAACAGTATTTATCAGAGAACCAAAATCTTAACAATTAATGTTGACGAGGTAAGTTATAAAATTACCCGCATAAAAATGTACTCTGGTGTGAGCTATTCAATTTCGGGTAACATATGGCTTAGCACAAGCTGACAATACTTGCCTGAATCCAAGCAAACTCCTTGGTCAATAAAGGTTAGTTTTGCCTTGTGGTTTCGAGAAATTGCTGCAGATACAATTAAATAACTGCTAAACTGCTGATACAATTAAATAACTGCTGAATTTTTCTCTTTTATATATATGTTTTCTTAATTTTTTAAGATCTATAAACAAAAATATTAGTCGTATTGTTAGAAAACTTATCCTTAACTTTTTCAAAATTGGCTATGTTCAAGAAGCTGGGGCTGGGATTTCTTCAATTTTTTCTCAACAGTCAAAAACCTTATTCGAATCGCTACCCTACTATTTATCTTTCGAACAAGTCCGAAATAGAAAATATATCAATATGAAAAATTAAAATTCGATATTACAAAAATTTCAATATTTCACTTAGTTTCTAACCGATTTTTTCTGTCGAGGTCTAAAAATGTTCGCAAAATGATGAACTTTAAGAATGTATCGAAAAAAGTTTAACATAGGGTGTCATAAAAAAGTTTCAGCGCTATTCAAAACTAGGCAATTTTTGAAGAATTCCGCCATTTTGAATTTTTTCAAATGTTTAAAGCTTCACTTTGATTCGTTAGTCTTCACGGAAAGAAATGCTTTGATAAAATGAATCAAATTGACTTATTGAAATAAGAAATACCATAATCTATGCCAAATAAATTAATTTAATCTAAAATGGAATAAAACAAGAAAAAAACTGATAAATATTAGCCTTTTTGAGATTAATCTGCTAATTTCGCTTACGATTAATAACATCAAATTGAAATTAATATCAATAGATATAATTTTCTTGTTTTTATGCTTAAACTGCTAAATCTCATCAATTTTTTTCTTGGGACATCAAAATTTAGATTGATTACAGAAAACGCTTTTCTTAAATCAATCAAACATTAAAGATTGAATTGATGATTAATTTTCGCAAGAAATTTGCTCAAATTAACTCTTAGATTATATTATTTTAGCTGTATTTGATACTAGTTTGACTAAAGGATAATATCTGATTTATCAACAAGATCAATTTGAGAAATTGAGATTCCTAGTGAGTGTCTGGTAGAATAAGTTCCATCAAAGTTATCTCAACAAGCATCATAGTGAAATTTTTTTACATATTTCACAGATCTATAAATTTCCAAATCAAATCAATTAGGAATGAATTACTAGGTACATTGATTTAAAATATTTTAGGTTTCAACACAGAATAATATGGGCATTAATTTACTTTTGATCTATATGGTTTTGATGGGATCAATAAAATAAATGCTTAATATCTATGATATTTTAAATTAATGTATTTCTGTCTGGATTAAGTTATTCATAGAATTTACTGAAATTTAGAAAACAGAAAAAAACAGTGAACTGAAAACAATCAAATATATAACTATTTCTATCCAATTTTTGCTACGATTATCAAATATTTGACCAAATTAATAAAACTCTTCTAGAATCGAGCCATTATTTGGCTTAATCTATAATAGAAGGAGTAAATCAAGCAAATACCTCTAAGTTTTTCTAACGGTTTTGGCTATTTGAGTTATTTTTCATTTGAAAATATTTTAGTGTGTGGTGTTTTGTTGGAGGAAGAACGTCTCTCCTGTTTATGTGGAGTGCACGCCGCACCCGGTCCACAGGAAAAACTTGTCTAAGTTGTCTTTGTGTATTTTTTCGTACTCTCGCATCCATACTCGTAGTGCCACGCAGTGCTAACTGGCAATAATAAATTATTGAGTTTTGTGAGTGATATTTGTGATATTTGTTTCTTTATGGGAGAGAAATTGAAATTTCCAGTAGAAACGAACATTTCATCTGTTTTTTTGTAAAAAAACCTACTAATAACATAGGGTGTTACGGAGTTTTGGAATTGTGTTTTTTATTTTTATACAAGGAAATTTATATTTTTAATTTGGTTCCTGTAAGCTGATTAATTTGCTTTTACACTAAAGACTTATAGCCGTATGCAACATCATCTTTTAATTTTAAAAGCACTTTTAGCCTATTCTGTCACTTTTTAAAAAATTTATTCTTAAGCAATTGACTTTCAAAGTCGCTTTTAAAGTTAAAAGAGGATGTTGCATACGGCTGTTATTATTTTCTTATTATCTATAAACTATAAGGTATAAATTGTATTCCTTTTGAGAAGGTTATTTAGGTTAAATTAGTAGGAGATAATAATAATTTAGTATTCAATATTGTAAACGAATGCAGAATAAATAATAAATAAACCGAAACCTCATTTTATTGTTACTATTTTCCCACCACCACCGTTAATTAGGAAAATCAATTGGCCAGCAATCAAATATTGAATGCACATAATCAAAAGATTTGATAAGTTGCACTCAATTATTAAATAAATAATAATATATAAATAAATTTGTTTATTGACATTCAAACATTACAATTTCAAATAATACAAATAGCAATTCTTTTAAGGTTGCCTATATGAAAACATGTAAATGGCAATAAACAGACTCACGTTTGAAGTGTTACACACTTGTTGTGAGAAGGTTGTTTGTGAAGGAATACTTCACAGTTTTATAGTCTTAATCGGTTAGAAAAGTCTTGATCGGTAAAAATGTCTTTTTAAGTCACATTCGAGAACATATTTGCCACATCATATCACTACAGAACACTTTTTTCAAGTCACTTAGATTATATTTTTAATAAGG